AGAAAAGTCTGGAGATATGAGGTTCAATTTCTTCTTATTTTCGTGTCTTCATGTATAAGGTGAGTTGGATTTAATTTGCTTGTTTCTTCAATTTTATGGTTTCTTTTGATTCTTGAGTGATAAGAAAGAGTAAGGGAAGATTTATGGTGACTTAAAACTCTAAAATGAACAAGTTATAAGAGATTAAGAAAAATGAGATTTTAAGTGAATTATTGAAATAGGAGTTAATAGATTTTGAAGCTTAATTTGACTTGTCAAGGGTCTAATTAAGAAGATAGAAGCAATAGAATTGGAATTAAAACATGTTGCAAAGTTGGTATAATTCTTGAGTTACATACGAGGGATAGAATTTTGAGGTTAAAGATGGTTTATATTGATATAAATTGGTTTAAGCATGTGTATATGAGTTAAGAACATGAAAGGGGATGAAAGATGAAGCATTTGAGTTGATTTGAGTGGATTTGCGAGCACGAAATGGAATTCTGGGCTAGTGTTCATCGATACACATTCAATATGTACCGATGCATCAAGGGTAAATTCCAGAAATAATTCAATGTGCATCGATGCACAGGAAGTGCATCGATACACCCCTTAAAAATAGAAACATTGAATGCCATGAGTGTACCGATGCACAATTAGTGCATCGATGCACCCCCTTGAAATTGAAATATCGAATGTAATTAGTGTATCGATACACTATAGAGTGTACCGATGCACTTCAAATGAAAAATAGAAGTAGATCTTTCTTATAGCTTAAGAAATCAAGGATCGAATCATAATATTTAGAATGCTAATATGTATACATGATTTTGTAGATATTGATCGAGAGTAAGTCCCGTAATGATTGAAAAGTTATAATTGGTCAAGAAGAGAAAGTAAGCCATAGGAGTAATTGATAGCAAGTGAGGCACAGGTGAGTGCAACTTATTTTATAGAATGATATGGAAATTGGACTTGTGATAAGTCTATTTCCGATAGTTAAAGTGCGTGAAGTCTTGATTATAAGTAAGTGAATGACATGAAATGTATGTATGTTTGATTATATGAGTGGATATGTTTTTGTATGTGTTATGTGGCTTATGTGAACATATGGTTATGAGATTAAATAGGTAATCATAGGAGAATATGATGAAAGTGAATTCATGAGAAACAATAGCAACTAGATAAACATGTGTAAAGGCTATATAAACAATAGAGTCATATGATTTAAGGAGAATTGAAGAAAATTAAATAATATATATGAATCTAATACATGAGAAGACATAGCCATGTGACATGTGAATATACTTGAATAATACATGTTATGTGATATGAGATTATGTGACAATAAGTTATATGATGTGAATAATATAATAAGAAGATAGGTGATAAAAACCGTGAGCCTATATGAATATGTGTAATGAATGTGATATACTTGATGTATGAGAATCATATGAGAATAAGAGATGACAATGAGTTACATGCCATATGAACACAAGAGAAGTGTTATAAGCTAAGTGACATATGATTATGAAATCATATGAAAAGTGAAATGTACATGTGAATATGTGAAGTGATATGAATATAATACCCATGTTATGTAATATAAGAACTAGTGGTATAGTTGGCATGCCAAGAGTCGAGGGTTTACCTATGTTCTACGGAACATATGGACAAAATTACCTATGTCTTTCGGGACATATGGACAGTATACCTATATTTTAAGGAACATATGGACAGTTTACCTAGGTTCTTCGGGACCTATGGACAGTTGCCGAGGTTCTTTATGACCTCTGGATAGGTCCTTCGGGACATTTATACGAGCTGTGGTGATAGCATAGTGGTGCACAACCTCAATTTATTCACATACCTTAAGTTCTCACATGTGTACATGGACTAATAAGAGATAACATTGAATACAATGTATGTGATATATATATGTGTTTTGTGATATGAATTATATGATATGATATATGTGTGTTAGTGATTATTGTATATGTTATAAGATATATGATATGTACATAATGGATCATATAAACAAGAGAATAGAAATATGAATGGTAATAATATGATAATGATAGGAAAGAAGATAATTATATACATGTGTGGATTTGATATATGAATAGATATATGTTTGGGTATGATGTGATAACAGTAATTGTTCATGCATGATTACAAGTTATAGTTTACATTATATGTTTATGGCCTCACTAAGTCATAGACTTAGCGTGTAAGTGATTTACACGTAGGTTTCAAGAAGAGTAAAGAGCAATGTGAAGCAAGACATGTCAGTTCTCCTTACTGAAGGTCAGATCAGAAGAGAGGTAGGTAATATGTATTTTAATATATAAAGTTCTAGTTGACATGTATTCAAAAGAATATATTGTATAAGCTTTGAATAGTTCTGTAAACATTTTGAATAAGTTATATGTTATAAAAGTTTTAAATTACTCACTATTTTATACAAGTAAATGTTTTGAAATGTCAATGTGACACCTCGGATTAGTATCCGGGTCAGGTACGGGTTGGGGGTATTACACCTCGACTATAGGATATTGCTTTATTAAATCCTCAACTATTAAAAGTTACAAAATGGTCCTCCAACTATAGAGTGTTGCTTTGTTGAGCCCATTGACTATTAAAATTTACAAAATTGTCACTCGACTATTCATTATGTTCATCATTTTTCGTTAAAAAAGTGACAGTCGTCTGAAGTGACATTTCCATGATGACTGAAATATGATAGTTGTTTGAGATTTTAGGATCATATTTTATTTTATCACAATCAGTATGTTAACGTTCATCTCAAAATGCCGTAAATTTTTTAACGAAAAATGACGAATTTGGAACATAATGAATAGTCGGGTGACCATTTTGTAACTTTTAATAGTCGAGGGACTCAACAAAGCAAATTCTATAATCAAAGGATCATTGTGTAACTTTTAATAATCGAGAGACTTAATAAAACAGTATCTTAAATACAAATATATTTATGGGTAAAGTATACAAAACGTCCCCCAAATATAGGATATTATTTTATTAAGTCCCTTAAATATTAAAATTTACAAAATGGTCCTCCAACTATAGAGTGTTGCTTTATTGAGTCCATTGACTATTAAAATTTATAAAATGGTCACTCGACTATTTATTATGTTCCAAACTCGTCATTTTTTAACTGAAAAGGACTATTTTGGAACATAATGAATAGTCGGGTGACTATTTTGTAACTTTTAACAGTTGAGTGGTTCAACAAAGCAACAGTCTATAATCAAAGCACCATTGTGTAACTTTTAATAGTAGGGGAACTTAATAAAGCAATATCCTTTAGTTGGGAGACCATCTATGTACTTTACCCATATTTATTCATTTGATAAAAATCTAACCTTTGGATGTACAAGTGCCGGTCGCCTTGCAGACTTGCTCAAAGTGAGGCTTGCAATAAAGGACTCCATCCCTCGCACAGTAGGTGCTCATCTGTTCAAAAACATAATGAGCTGTGATCATCCACTTTCATACCAGATCAAACCATGAAGTTCATCGGATTATCGTCTTCAAAAACATCGTAGGTCGTCGGTTCAATCACCGACATAAACGTACATACGTACCACTAGAAGTCCATTGCATTTGGTGCACCGGAAGCAAGTCTTGTGATAAGGGGCTCCATCGGCGGATATCATATCGTAGAAATGAACGGTCTTGTCGCAAGACCTGCATTTCTCTGTTGTCCCACTGAATGCCATCTTGTTTTTAACGGTGGGGTACTAAAATGAAACAAAAATAAACATTAGGTATGATTTTAAAAAATTGAAACTTTAAGTACTGAAATGTACTAGCTAACACACTAAGAATAGCATCTTGTTTCCATGGTTGTTTGCTGACCAAGTTAATATATATAGGATAATTATTCTATGGGTAAAATACGTATTTAGTATCTAAATTATCAATTTTGATCCATTTTAGTACCTAAATTTTCATTTTTTTTCAAAATCATATCTAACGTTTAGTTTTCATTTGATTTTAATACCCGCCGTTAAAAACTTACCGCATTTAGTACCTAAACTATCAGTTTTGGTTCATTTTAGTACCTAAACTTTTAATTTGTTCGAAACTTAACGTTAAATTTTGATCCAATATACTAAAATGAAACAAAAACTAAAGTTTTAACGGTGGGTACTAAACTAAAACAAAAATTAAACTTTAAGTATGATTTTTAAAAAAATTAAAAAATTAAGTACTAAAATGAATCAAAAATAATAACTTAGATATTAAATACGTAATTTACCAGTGTTTCATATGTCAATGTAGGATTTTCACCTCAATCGGTGGGTTTTTGATATTACCACTAATGCATTAACTTCATGGTGAAATTCGATCGGATTTCTAATTTGGGATCTACTATATTTGTTATAGTATTTAACGAACTAGTTACGTTGAGGTGACTAGTTCGCCAAAATAATATTTTTTTTTATTTAAAATTTTCACCTTGAGGTGAAAAGTTCTAATAAAATATAATGTTTTTATTAATTTTTATCACATCGGAGATAAAAATTTGAAAAAAAAAATTTTTTTATTAAAGTTCGTCACATCTAGATGACGAGTTCTATATACTATAATAAATGTCATAGATCCCAAATTAAAAGTCAAAATACCCTAATTCCTTAATTTTTTTTGCTAGGATGTCGTAATAGGCCAAAATTGCTTCAACTTCATATTATCAAGTGGATTTAGTATATAAAGAAATATTATTTTCTCTTGAGGTGTCGAATTTGAAATATTATATATATATATATATATTATGAATAATTAAAAAAATTAAATAAATAATTAAATATTAACTTATAATCCCAATAAATAACTTTTTAGAGAGACAATACATATAAAATTGGCAAGCAAAAATATTAGTAGGTCCATTGTTATGGTACTTAAATTCAATAGACATAATAATTTTAATTAAAAATTTACTAAAAATAATTTCAATTCAAACCCTACCGGATAATAATCAAATTGAATTTGAATATTACTATTAATAGATTGCGAAACAATAGAAAAACACAGATTTTAGGAATAACATTTATGTTCCATAAGATACTGTGAATATACGATACAGCATTGGAAGCACCTATGAATCAAGTAATAACCAGATCCTTGCCGCCAAGCAAAGATCCAAATAAGTATTTATAAAACAAAAGAATGGTGAATCAAGCCCCAAATTTGGGAACTTTGGCAGCTGAGATTTGAGCCAAGAAATGCTCCGCCACGATCCTGCGCTGGATTTTTCCGGTGGCGGTTTTCGGAACCGAATCGGTGATGAAAACTTTCTTCGGGACCTTGAAACTAGCTAGATTCTTCTTGCAATATTGCAGGACTTCTTCCTCTTTCAAGCTTACTCCTTCCTTTGGAATCACTGCACAATTTATCTACACGTTTGGAACAAACAAAAGCACCACGGAGGAAGAAGAAGGTGTTAGAGACAAAAAGCTCATATTTTTCCAGAATGGGTTTCGTTTGGTTAGACGGAAATGGTTCTTTTTGGCATGAAAGGAGATGATTGATGTACCTCTTCCCCGTATTTCTCGTCAGGAACACCAAAAGAAACTGCTTGTGCAAGATCGGGATGAGCCAGCAGCACTGCGTCCACCTCAATCGGTGAAATTTTCTCACCTGAAAATTGATTCAAGTGAACAAAGCGAACAAAAACTAGTGAAAGATTACGAGTTTTTTCAGCATTAAATCGTACCTCCACGGTTAATGAGCTCTTTGATCCGACCCACAAGATGCAAGTACCCGTCGGAATCGAGAAACCCGACATCGCCGGTGTGGAACCAACCGAATAGAAAAGCTGTTTTATTAGCCTCGGGGTTGTTCTTATAACCCTTTGTCACGTTCAATCCTCTGATGCAAACCTCTCCTTCAGCACCAGCCGGTTGAAACTCTCCTTTTTCGTTCAGAATCGCCATTTCTTGACCCACGGGTTTCCCGACCGACCCGGGTTTATGCGGGCCGCATTCCGGTAACGGGTTCGACGCCATGAGATGAGAGGCCTCGGTCATGGCGTAAGCCTCGAGAACGGATGCGCCGAATGCCGCCTCCAACCGAGCCAAAATACTCGGCGCCAATGATGCGCTGCAGCTCCTGATAAACCTCAGCTTGGGGTAAGATGGTTCCGGCTTGCTCTCGTGGCGGTCCAATATGATCTGGTGTATAGTAGGGACAGCAGTGTACCACGTGGCGTTGTATTTAATCATGTCCGTCCAAAACGTCGACGCGGAGAATCTCCCGGCGGCGGGTAGAGTCACGGCGGCCCCGGAAAGGAGTGAACTGAGAAAGCCGGCCAACAAGCCATGTACGTGAAATAAAGGGAGCACGATGACTGTGGAGTCGGACTCGGTGAGTTTGTAAACCGATTTAATGTTCAAAACAGAGGTGGCTAGATTGAGCTGAGTCAAAGGGACGCCCTTGGGGCGGCTGGTGGTCCCGGAAGTGTGGAGGAACAGGGAGATGTCAGCAGGGTCGTTTACGAGTTGGTTGACTGAGTCGAGATTTGACTCGGGGTTAGAGGAGAGAATGATTTTGGAAGTTCCGTCGTGGAGAGCGGCGGACACGTGGGGGATGCTGAGCTTGGAAGCCGCAGCTTGAGCCGGCTTGATGCCTTCGGCCGGGACTAATAAAAGCTTGGATTTTGAATCCGAAAGGTAGAACTCGAATTCCTCCGCCGTGTAAGCTGGGTTTAACGGCGCGGCGGTTGCTCGGCAACGAATTACAGCCAAAAACATTATCACAAACTGCAAAAAAAAGGAGAGAAAAAAACAAAAAAAAAACAATATTACTCATCATTACTTAATAAAACAAAACGAAACGAAAAAACTAGACGAACCTCGACGGTGTTCGGGAAAGTAAGAGCGACGACGTCACCGGAACCAATCCCGGACGCAACGAGTAGAGATGCGGCATGATCAACGAGTTGTTGAAATTGGGCATGAGTTAAATCAAAATTTCCGGCCACCGAAACAGCTCTCCTCAAGGGAAACTGTGCCGCAGCTTTCTTCAATAATCCTGTCAAAGTTACGGTCTCCATGGTCGGGAAAAAAAAGGATAAGAAATCAACAATTTGGTAATCAAAATCCGTCGATGAATGAAATATTCTGTTTGGGGCGAGAGAGTTATAAAGGAAACAAAGAGGGAGGCTTCAAGCGGGGAAGGTGGCGACTGGTTTGACGGTCAGTTCGGCTGTGCTTAGCGTTGAGAGGTGTACGTATGTATCGGCCATTCTTCATTCAATCTGCACTGTCCGATTCAATCAACTGGTTTGTTTTCCTTTTGCCACGGCGGTTGATTGGTCCTCGGTAAGAATATCAGATGGGGCCCGAGCTAAAGGGCAATGGAATTATGGGAAGGAAACAAACAGGGAGGTTCCAATCGGGGGAGGTGGCGAAGGTCAGTTCGGGTGTGCAACTTGGCGGCCATTATCCATTCAATCTTGCACTGACCGGTTCCATTAACTCATCTGTTTTTTGTTTGCTTTTGGCTACGGCGGTTGATTGCTGCCTGCGAAGACGATCAGATGGGTCCCGACCGAGCTCTCCCGTGTTTGCTTACGACACGGAGCTTCGAAACGACCATAAAAACGTTATGGGTCTCTGTCACTAATTTGTTCTTTTTCTATAAATTTCATCAGTTGCTACAAAGAAAACTACCTATAGAAGGGTCTTAATTAGGGCCATAAACGAGTGGAGTCGGTCTTAATTAGCGCCGTAAACTAGTGAAATTAAGTTCGTGTTGTTAAGTTCGACTCAAAAGCTCAAAAGTAATATTTGACTCTGTTTGAAAATTCATGAATCTAAAATTTTTAAGTTCGACTCAAACTCAAAACCATGAATTAATTTTCATAAAAGCTAAAAAAATTTGAAATAAAAAAATCTTAAACTTAATTCGATTGTTAGCATACATTAGTCTAACTATTTGTAGTTAGTTAGTTTTTCTGTTTCAATAGTTGGTTAAGGTGTTTTACCTAGCTTATATAAAGCTGGTTTTCCTTTTATTCAATATACACTAATAAAAGAGAACTTTTATTGATCCTTCATCGTTATATCGATTAAAGCTCAAACTTAATTTAAATCTTAAATACATAAAAGTATTATATTATATTTTTTAAAAATATCAACACATAAATATTAATAATATTAATAATTTATTTTAAAATAAAATAAAATCTTAACATATTATATTTTCGAGTTGTTCAAAACTTTTCGAGTCAAGTATCAAATAATTCGTTTCGACTCATTAAGAATTTGAGTTAAATATCTATCAAACTGTAACCGAATTAATCTCAAGTAACTCATGATCTGTCTCGTCTCATTTACAACACTAATCTTAATGATCCCATGCAACACACAAATGCTCATTCATCCCATCACATTTGTCTATGCAACAATTGTACACACGTATATCAACGATCTTCTTAATACAATCAATAAGATCATCAATCGATCGGATATCTCCTCCAAAATATCTATAATTTCGTTCCTCTCAAATACAATAAAAATATCATGTCCGAACGAATTTAAAAATACACACAATAACAGTTTTGTCATTCAAATTATCTGTAACTCACCTAATTATATTCTCCCGATATTCTCATACGAATAAGTCTATCTTTCATTCCCAGTTTATCCGATATAGTCATCTAAACAATAATAAAATTCTTAGGACATGAGGATTTTTTTTACCACCGCACCCTAATTTTTTTAGTTGTCCTTTTAGTTATAAGGTTTCGTCTCGATTAATTTGGATCGATTCGTGTCACACACCTGAGTTTGGTGGGTTAGTCTCTCAACAGAGATATTCTGCATGTATAAGACTTAAACTTGAAACCTTACTTGAACGAATTAAACTGTTTACCACTTGAATCTTTTCTCTAATTTATGCTACCTTGATCCTAAGCTTTAATAATTTCCTCACGCTCCAACTAAAACGAGACTTACACTAAACATATCAATAATCTTCTCCCTTAAAAGCATACTCTTTAACTCAAATCACCCAAAGAGAACCATCAGTTAAAATATTCTTTTACAAGAATTAATATTATAAAATAATAATATTTTTAATTTTTAAAATTTATATATTTTATTAATTTAATTTTAATTTAAAATAATTTAATCAGTTTAATTTTACATTTAAAAATTATATTCATTTCGTTATCATTTAATTTTAAATAATTTTATAAATTTATCATAAATGTCTAAATGATATCCTTAAATACATTAGTTGAAACAAATAAACTTAAATTTTGAATTAATTAATACTTTCATCGACTAAAATTATATTTTATTATTGTTAAGTAAAATAGTGCGTTTCACGAAAAGATAATTCAAAGTCAAATTGAATTGAGGGAAATTTAGATAGGATTAAATATAAAAATAAGTGTTTAAATTATAACATTTTTAATAAATATGTGTTTAAATTATTTTTGAATGATATTGGTGTCTAATGTTACAAACGCTATTATTTTATGTGTTTGGGCAATCAAAGACGTTAATTTTTTCCGTTAAGTGAAAAATGTCACAATATGATAATTTTAAAATTTATTTTGAAAAAAAAATTATTAATAATATTATTATATTTATAAAAAATCATAATTTCTCTCGAATTATAAAAAAGCCCCGAAACCCCTATAATCCCAAAAGCCTAACTTTAACCCACCGTCGTCTTCCTAGTCATATGTCATCATAGTTGTTGTCGATTGGCCATCTAAATCGGGTGGGATCGCGATTTTCATCTTAGGGTTCACGATATATAAAACGTCAATTCACCATTAATCGATCACGATTTCATAGGGGTTTTGGTCGGGAGAGGTGAGGTCGGGTGGAGTTTTGTCTAAGGCAAAGGTCGACGGTCGATGTGGGTTTAAGGGTTGAAATGAAGGTTTTCAAAGTTTTGATATTATTTTAAAATATTTGTGTTTTTTAAATATATTTTTAATGTGGGCATGTTCCACTTGGAAGGGAAAATCCCTGCTTTCTTCCATCATGAACCTTGCATTCTATGCTCTTATCTATACCTTTTGGGACGAACGCAACAAACGCCAGTTCTAAAATCGTTCTAGAACTGCCCAAGACCTTCTCCATGCCATTAAGGAGACTGTGAGGTTACGATTGAGGGATATGACTATAAATATGAATGATAATGCTAATATCTCTCTTGTTGAACATTGGGAAATATTTTGATTTTGATTCTTCTGTGAGTAGTCTTCTTTTGTAATATGAACTCTGAGGTTTTGTAATCAGGTTTTGTTATTGGGTAATAAAAATTTGAATTATCCAAAAAAAATAATTTTAATATTATAATTTTAAATAAAATTTTTAAAATTATCAGATTGTGATACGTGTCATTTAACAGAAAAAATTAACGTTATTGAAGGTCTGAAACTTATAATCATAACGTTTGGTACCGAGATGATTTAAAAAATAGACACCTATCGGTGAAATACGCTATAGTTTGACCCTTATTTTATAGTTAAAGCCAATTTAGATATTAAGGTAAAAATAAAATATAATTTCAGGGGGCAAACTAAACGAAGAACCGATCAAACACCGCATTGTCAATGTGCAGGTGAAGAAATGAAATGAGCAAAGGGAAAGCAAGGAAGATAAGCGAGAAATAATAAAGCAGAGAGAGAAGTATAAAGATGAAGCTCAAAGTATATGCAGATCGCATGTCTCAGCCAGCCCGAGCTGTCATCCTCTTCTTAAAGTACTTTCTTTTTCGACCTTTTTTTAACCAATATCCGGGTTTTTCTTCTCCTTTGAAATTTTTCTTCACTTCTTTTGTTTTTTTGGTAAATTAGGTTAAATGGTATAAACTATGAGGAGGTCAGGGTAGATATCGCGAAGCATCAGCATTTAACTCCTGAATATGCAGGTAGTCGTTCATTCTTCCCCTTAAAAATTCACTATTCAAATTATACACCAATTTGTTATTAATCATTTGAGTTGTTTCATGAGATTTTAGAAATTTTGAATTATTGGAAGGAATTGACTAATGGCAGTGTGTTCTTGTTTTATTTCAATGATTTTGTTGCAGAAATTAATCCCATGAAGCAGCTGCCGGCCATTGTTGATGGACGATTTAAGCTGTTTGAGAGGTAATTGAAGTCCCCCTTCTTGTTCCCTTTGTTCAAAGATTCCATATATGTTAATTTTTTTCTTCTTTTTGCAGTCATGCTATTCTTATCTATCTTGCTTGCTCGTTTCCTGGAGTTGCAGATCATTGGTAAGTGTAATTTCTTTTTCTTTTGCTGGTTATTTGTTATTTATGTTCTGTTTTACACGGTATCTTCGACGAACAATATAGCTGATTGTGGACATGGATACTCATTTATTGGAATTTGAATTTATGGATGGCTGAACAACTTCAATGGTATGTCGATGGGTTGGTGTTTTACGATGTAACATTGGAAGGATTAACTAACTTATGTGCCGGTGTCAGTGTGCTTATGTGTTACTGAAATTATGCAGTTCAATCTTGGGATTATTGATATAATTTAGCATATTTTCCATTCGGTTCGGATATGCCACCCTGATTGTTAGATGTTTTCGTTTCTGTGTTTCAAGGTATCCGGCTGATGTTTTCAAGAGAAGTAAGATACACTCGGTGTTGGATTGGCATCACTCCAACTTACGTCCTGGTCCAGGTGTATTTTTAACGCTGCAATGGATCAATCTCTTTAAGTTTTTCGTGCTTGTTCGCGGTGATTGGTAATTGAGGTGGTAGGATAACGTTGCTTTGTATATGCATTCTTGTTTTATAATATGTTGTTTCCTTTGTGGATCAATGCTATTACGAATAAGGGTTTCAAGCATTAGATCAGTGCACTGCTTTCCCTTGCTCACAACATTGGGCTATCCGAGATGCTAAGACCTATTTTGTACTTCTGGCTTCTCCTGCATTATTATATTTGTGTTTTTTTGTAAACATGGATTCTTTTTGGTTATCTATATCGATATGTAAACCTTGTATGTAAATATGCTTGTGTTGTTATGCATATCAACGCTTCCTTTCCTCTCGTGAGATATGGCTTTCAAACTCGATGCTTCTATTTTTCAGTCACAATTGTTCGTAATACTGTTCTGGCGCCTGCGCTTGGCCGTCCATTCAATCCAGAAGCAGCTGCTGAAGGTGAGAAATTTTTGTCCGCATCTTTGTCAAAGATAGAGTCTATTTGGCTCAAGGATAATGGCCGTTTTTTGCTCGGTGGGAACCAACCATCTATAGCCGATCTTAGCCTTGTTTGTGACATAATGCAACTCGAGGTATATTTGTTATGAATCAATATTTTTGCCCATATCTGAATTCTTTATTGTTTTCATTAGCATTACTTTGGCGAAACATAATATTCTATGATAAAGATTCAGCTGTGCTCCCATGGACTTATCTGTGTTTCTTCCCGCGTGATTTATACAATTTCTTCGGTGTAGCTTTTGGATGAGTCGGATCGAGACAGGTTATTGGATCCTTACAAGAAAGTTCAGCAATGGATCGAGAACACAAGAAACGCTACGAATCCTCACTTTGATGAAGTGCACAAGATTCTGATGAAAGCCAAAGAAAAACGGCATAATCAACGGTTAAACGGAGCAAATAATGGATGGGGTGGACCCGAAATGAAAAAAACTTTGCTTTCGAAAATCTGAGAAATGAAGAAACTGCATTACTAGAATGTATCATAAGAACTTGTGTTGTTTCAACTGTTACCGGAAGCTCTCTAGTTAGCTGTTTCATTCGAACTCGAAGTGAATGCCGGATATGTGTATGAACATTCATTGATCGGGTCTTCTAATCTTTTTATACAAATAGATGTCACAATAATAGATGATGAGTAACACTTTTTTCGTTACTTATGGTTGTTTTGCATTGCTGTTTAAATCCGAGACCTTTATGAAAAATAATACTCTCTTCTATCACTAAAGTCGTTCAACGGATTCATATATTCTTACTTCAAACACAAACTAAAATCTAGTGCTAAAACTAAAAGATTTTAAAATTTGATATTAAAATCGATACAAAACTTAAATTTGATGACTAATATATAATTGGGTAAAGTACACGAGTGGTCCCCTGATTACAAAGTACTGATTTATTAAGTCCTTCGATTATTAAAAGTTACAAAATCGTCTTCTGACTATAGAATATTACTCACTTTAATATAAATATTTGAATAAAACAATTAAAATTTATTACTTAAAATACAGACTTATAACTAAAACATTTTATATATAAGCCTTTTACCATTACACAGAATTAATTGTGATTTTTCAAGGAAATAATCTTTTTTACTATTTAATTACAAGACATTATTTAAAAAAATAATCCTCAAATCGCTCACTTAAGAATATCTCACATTCTTCAAATCATGTATAAGGACCTCACATTTTACGGGACATGAGATTTATCCTACGTGGAAGAACTTCTCAAATAATCAAATTTAATATTTACAAAAAAATCTCACGTACTGCATTTAGCAAAATCTCCAAGAAATTGAAGCGGCAGAATAAGTTATCTCGTTGTTTATAAAACCCTCGCGTTCTACGAACTAATTAATTGAGAAATACCTTTATTTATTCGGTCTCTCAATTATTAAAAGTTATAAAATGATCATTCGAGTATTCATTATATTCTAAACTCGTCATTTTCCTCTAAAAGTCAACAGTTGTTTTAGCTGTGTTAACATGATGAATGAGATATGATAGTCGTTTGAAATTATAGGATCATATTTTATCATGGCACAATCAAGATGTTAACGTTCAGCTCAGAATATCTACTTTTTAACGGGATAGGACGAGTTTGAAACATAATAAATAGTCGGGTGATCATTTTGTAACTTTTAATAGTCGATGGACTCAACAAAATAATACTCTATAGTCGAAAAATCATTTTGTAACTTTTAATAGTCTAAAAACTTAATAAAGTAATACCCTATAATTAGATATTATTTATATACTTTACCCTATATAATTTATCCAACAACTTAATCAGGCTTATTATCTGATAAAAATAAAATAATTACAATAATTCCATGGATCATAGTATTAGATAATTATAAATTATATATTAAAAAAATAAAAAGTAAAGTTTCATAATATTAGGGTCATGTTTTTTGTCAACTCAACTCGTCTCGAAAATATGTATCCTTCACCCAAACCTGACCCAACCCAAAAATTTTATATCCTACATTCAATTCGATTTGATCCGAAAATATATATCCTCCACTAAATCCGACCCGATCTGATTTTTTAAATATAAATTTGATCCGACCTGATACAAATTACTAATTCAATTAAAATAATAATAATTTGATCCCAAAAATGTGTACAGTGACTTTCTTGCCTATGTTTACATTTTTTTTTGGATAATTAGATTATTATTACCCAATGAAAGCAGTAACTGCTTCAAATCCAATACAAACAAATAAGCATAAAAAAGGGGTCACAAAAAATCATACTATACCCCAAGAATTACAAAAAGAAAGATTAGTAATATCCAATCTATTGACAACCCTATTGCTAAGTTATATTCCTACAATTTTTTTGATTGAGGCCAGAATTTCGTCTTCGGATCTGCAGGTTCCTGGAAAAAGTCTTCGATTCCTTTATTCCCATATTGTATAATTGAGATTGCACCAAAAAAGCTTCAATATACTAGTAAGCAAGGACTTGCCTTTCCATGTGTTATATGCCCAAGTAAGCAGATTAGTCCAGGTAAGAAGAGGTTTATAAATACCTGTGAGCTGAAGAATAGAATTCTAGATTGAAGCAGTTATTTTACATTCAACAAAGAGATGGTTTCTGGATTCCCTTGCTTCGGAACAGAGGATGCACATATCATTAGTTTCAATTCCAAACCGTAGCAGCCTATCCTTTGTAGGAAGACGATCCAAGATAACCATCCAAGAGATTAAGCTAAACTTGGGAATGTGCAATGAAAACCAAATCAGTTTATGCCATGGGACTTTACCATTTTTCTGTCGAACCTCTTCCCAAATCAGTTTGGTAGTCACAGCTCCGGAAGCAAGAAGAGGTCGAGCAACTGCTCGGAGTTTCATGATTTTCCTTAGGATCCAGCTTGAGTTCTTCGGTTCTTCCATGTGCCAGAAATCATGATCCTTAATGAGATAGTTGAGGATCTAAGCTACCTAAAGGGAACCCTCCCCTGCAAGTAATTTCTTTATGAGTAGAAGCATGCATGATTTGTTCCATGACTTGATGTCCTTAAGACCAAGCCCGCCTTCCGACTTTGGGGTGCAAATTTTACCCAGCTAACTCTAGCTCCCACTGCTGAAACGTCAGAACCTTTCTAAAAATATCTCGAACAAATTTGTTCGATTTTGTTAATAACAGATTGTGGCAAAACAAGTTGCCTACACCAGAAGTTTGCCACACTAAAAAGAACTGTTTTGATCAACTCCAATCTGCCAGCGTAACTTAGCTTCTTCCTGGACCATTGATAGAGTTTGACCTTGATCTTGTCTAAGAGAGGCTGGCAGTCTTTGACCGAAAGCTTCCTTGTAGGGATATCTTTCTCTCTTTTTTTATAGTAGGGATATCTTTCTCTCTTTTTTTCCCCAAATGATGATCAATAGGAATAGGTAGTTGTTGATTAAAGAGATGCTATGAATTGCACAATATTTATTGTTCTTCTTCATTTGCAGGGTAGCAAGTCTTTTCAGTGGCCAGATGCTGCTGTTTCTGCTGTAACTGCACTTGAAAAGGCCTCATATGATGGTTTTTCACCTGACATGAAATATAACCAGCAGTTACGGCAGCTTGTGTTCAACCTGAAGGTCGAGAGCTTTCTTCTTATGAGCCTATATGGATATCTTCCCTTGTTTCAATTTAAGATTACATTCTTGTTTCTTTTTCACAGAACAACTCATTGCTAGCTTGACGTCTACTAAATGGAGAATTGGAACCTTCAACAATTCTTATCACGACACCTGCTGAGTTAAAGGTATAGTCTATTAGGGTACCGTTGACTTCTAAGCTTTCATATCAGTTTAAAAGAGTGGCAACTACCTCATGTAGGTAGAAATGCGTTGGCTCTTGAACATGGTTATCTATTGGCCATTTATTAGCCTGCTAACTGGTCTCAATATGTCAAGGACTTGACAAATTTTAACCTTACAGTTCTTTGTGACTAGTTCTTTTATGCCACTATACTTGGGTTCTGGGGGCAGCCCACTGTGAAACAGAGTATTGTATTGTGAATAATGTGTTCAACTGTAGGAGGGTTTAACTGCTGAAGAGACGGCCAAAAAAGAGCCTGATGAATTTGTGCACATGCAGGTCATTCTCTCCGCCTAATTCAAGAAAAGAAAATCTGATAACATTTTTGTTAACATAGTTGACATGTGCTAACTAATCGTTCTATTACTCGTAAAGCAGATGACTGATGCCCGGTGCTCAAGATGCAGTGAATTTAAAGTCTGTCTAAGGGACATTATCCAAGCTGGACATGGAGACCGCTATCAGGTTATCTCATATTTTCTTCTCTGATTCCGTCACTATTACTAAGAATCAGTTTGGATTGCTATTACAGTAATCAAATTGAGTTAGTACATCTTTGTTTGTGTTTCACTCTAGAGTCTAGATAGTCATGTAAATGCACACATTTCTAACTTGTTTATGTACGATATTCGAATAACCCAAACTACAGACTTGGATCTGAGATCCCTGTGCATAATGTTGTCAACTTGATCATTTGTCTTTGTACAAGATTTCATATATGACTAGAAGTTCAGTAACCATGTCAAGTTAGAGGACCATTGTTTTTTGGATAGAGATTACATGTTTATAAGAGCATCATTAGACAGGTATATATCAGGCGTGCAAGATGGTATTGTAAATCTTTCCTTTTCTGAAATAGATGGACACAAAAGTATCATATCAGATTTCTTCTAGATATCTTAACTTGAAGGACAAGCTTTATGACTGTAGTTCTTCGGTAAGTATTGGGTTTACCGGGCTGGAATATTTCACACAGACCACATTTTCTGGAAATCTTGGGGTAACTGCATAGTGACCACTTTTTTTCTTGAATATATATTGTGATATTTGTTTTCATCTATAACCATTAAACCTCCATTAAATTTCCATTTCCATTTCCATTTCTGTTGGATGTATTGCGTGTGGAAATTCGTGGTATGCTTCCAGAGATGAAGCATCTTCACTTACAATAGAGCCATCATCGAATTCTGCCAAGGGAGTTGGTTCGGGACAACCAGCCAAGGGGAATCCTGAAATTCCTGAGAAGAAGTCGGTTAGACCTTCTGCCAAAGGTGTTGGTTCGGGACAACCAGCCATGGCGAAGCCTGAAATTCCTGAGAAGTCAGTCAGCCCCCCCGAGAATCAGAAGCTACGAAAAATGTGTAGTAGGAAAATTTTTCTGGTGTTCCGAGCAAAATTAACCTTTTGTACAGTTGAATGTATGCACATCAATTAGAAATAATCATATAAATATACACATATATTTATATTAAGGTTAGCATAGTTATAATATTTCAGCAAGAATTGTTGGTTTATATTCTCATACATAAGTTGAATTAGTCCCTAGTACTTTTAAATAACGGGATTTAGTTCTTGTAGTTACTCTATACCCGATATCTATTTAGATATTGCATATCAGTTCATGGGGATTCCCATTGTAAAAGCTTTTAATTCATGCAATCACATGAAGAGAATAAACCATAAGCAGAAACAAGCCTTGTTCAGGCTTAGAACAAAGGATGGATGTTTTGAAATATCAAAGCAACAGTTGATTAAATTTACAAGAGCTGAAAATATCAATGTACAACACAGATAATTTATGTTTTGAAAGGGTTATCTTATTCTGTTGGCCTAAGGATCAGCTTTTCCGGCGATTTCCTCGTCATCAGAGGCAGCAAATTCATCGTCACTCAGCTCTTCATCACTGGACCTGTCTTCTGCCTTTGTTCCAATGTCTTCTGGCTTGGCATATTTCTCACAATATTCTGGAAAAAAAAAAACCCCAAAAAAAGAGGACATTAGCATTGCAGAATGACTGGCATCCTTAAACCAATATCGAAGGGCCGACAACCAATGAACATTTCTGCAGAGAGAACAACATCTACAATGCTAGCAAACATGTCTTCGGACCTTGTCAAACTTCGGGTTGCCACAACTTATCAACTTCTTTGTCACGCGATAGTAAAGTTTAACCATTGATACTCACTAGAAAAGTAACTCATTATCTCTGACTAAAACTTTTTCTACTTTGTTCAACACCTTGAGGTTTACAGCGAACGTCGAACCATGAAAAGAATCAATGATTTTTCGATTTCAAATTTTTAGGTCACATTCGTACCAAATCCACCAAACTCCAAGTGTGCAGAAGATTAAATAAACCTTCTTGCCTGAATGGAATAAAACATGTAATTGATACAAAATTATTCATTCAAAAACTAAAACTACAACTAGTTTAGACTAGTGATGAAGTCCGAGATTGGTGTTGGCCAACTTGAGACTGATGACAAAGATCAAGAATGTAGACTTTGTTGTTCCAACTCTTCATTTTGCTTAAAGTAGCCGTGTCTGGTGCAATATCCACAGGGGTGTGGGGACATGACCTAACAAATAACCTCCAAAATACATAGAAAACTTGAAAAAACTGAACATAACAGTGAAAAACAAATACTCATATTTCACACTTACGACCAAGTCCAAGTAACATAATTGTTGACAACTCAATAAAATGGGCATTACTCACTGGTCAACCGAGTACAGAAAGAAGTTATGTGCTACTTATAAACACGCATTTCATGTTCCCAACATATGAGATCTTATGTAGGTAGCCGATAAAAATTCTTGTAAGCTCACCGGCCTGCTGCCTAATATGGCTTCATTGGCTTTAGAAAAACCAGAAATCGAGATAAATGCCTTAACTTTTGAGATAGGCATTCTTATAGTGAAATAAAAGCTTAAATAATGTATAGAAGCTTATGCGAAAATGCTTGCCTTTAACTCTTTGGTCATAGGTAGCACGGTCACGCATCATAAGAGCAGCAGCTTCTCCATTCAATGGGTCCGATGGGTTGGGATACAAAAGAAGTTGAGGAAGGAACACTTCAAACACATTTACCAGATCTGAAATCGAACATAAGGATTGTCAAGTTCAAGAGTAACACCAACATATAATTAAGGCAAGAAAGAATAAGGAAATCGAATATTGTGCAACGATTACCGAACATGGGGCTCCAAGTCTGGTTGATGACATCCAAGCAAACAGAACCAGACCTGAAACTCGTAGCTCAAAGGCATCGTAAACCATAATAGATCATTTAAAAGTCAAAACCAGAGTTAATCATTCCAAAATTACCTCATAATGTTAATACTACCACTAAGAAAAAGCTAAAAACAGCCAAATTAGAACTTTTTTAACATATAAGAACCTTACATTTCATCAACATTTGGGTGGTAGATCTTGTTTATAAAGCCAATTGATGGAGATTTATAAGGATAAGCATCTGGCAGCTCCACCCTAATCTTCCACACACCACCATGGTAAGGACCTGTTACATTTCATATCAGAGAATCTGTGAGGAAAAACAACAAAATAATCATCCTTATTTGGCTCTAGTCTAAAAATACCCAGAAACAAAATCTATCAACAAACCCCATCCTCATTTAGAAAATTCAAAGAACTAAGGACAATACAGAAGTGGCAGCTCAGATAAAAACAAATAACCCAGAAAACACAAATATATATATAAATACTAATCTTCAAACTTCAAAATCATCAAAAAAATAAAAATAAAAACCCATCAACAATAATCGGATAAATGAGAAAAAGAAGACAACTTTTCAGATAAATGAGAAAAACCAAGAGAAGAAAGCAGAGACATAGACCACGGAAGAGGAAGAGGAAGAGGAAGAGGAAGAGGAAGAGTTGTTAAAGAAGCGATAATTTTACTGTCTTTTGGTCCATTGAATTCAACATAAAATTCCTGCATCCCATCATTGATCATCTCGACCTTGTAGTCACTCATCATCCTAGTAAATAAAAATTAAATTAAAAATAAAAATAAAAATAAAAATAACAAAACCAAAACCAAAACCAAAACCAAAACAAAAATAATATAGAGAAATTCTTTTAGATGTAATTTGGGTAAACAAACAAAATCATTTACAATTTCATCAAGTCCATCTCGCGGCGTTTGCTTGGTGAAGACATCTTGTTTTACTTTGTTTTTTGGGATATTTTAGAGATGAAAAATAAGGAGGAGAAAGGAAAATCAACCACAGACAAGTTGTTCAAGCATCAATGAGTGTATCCAGGAGCTTATATGTATGTGCAGCCACCAATGTACTTTTTAAGCTCCGGTAACTCTTATTTTTACTTTGGAACGACTTTAATCTCTAAGCAAGAATATTTTACGTACACAGGATTTGAATTTAAGACTTAAATATGTTAAGTTGTTGATAAACTCATTAATGTATGATTAAAATTAATACATATATTTTCATTTAAGAATATATGAATAATAAAAACCTAATTGTTATTCTCTTCTTTCAACGTTCTTTTAATATTTTTGTCTTTTTTTTATTTAAATAGCGGTGATATTAATTTTAATATTAATTGTCGATCGTTGGTGAGGTGACTATTACTTCTTTTGTTTTTTATAATATATATTTTATTTTTTTCTTGAGTTTTTAAATTTTGCATAAAAATATATATCCTTGTGATATATTTTTCTCTACTCTTGTGGTACACGTTTTCTCAATTTTTGTGGTATGATTTTTTATACGTTTTTCGAATATTTTTTTGTTGTTTTGGTTTTTGCACAAAAATCATCATTCGTGACATTTATTTTATGATTCGTTTGATGGTCACGTATAGTTGGATATCTTTTTGCAAGCTTATGAATCCTTAGGGATGGAGTTGTGTTTAACGTGCGAAAGGTCGTGGATTAAAGCCAAAAACTTACATCACAATACACATATCTTTTGATTTCTGGTTTAGCTTCGGCGATGATGAAGAGCTCCTTCCGCTGCTTCTCCGCCTCTGCAAAATGCCCATTTCAACAAAAAATTTCTAAAAAAACAAATCGAACTCTCATCTGATGTACATGTGTAGTATGGATATATTGTTTTTTCAAAGTTTTTCATGTATTAAAAGGGTCCCAAGCATGTAGGATATTGTGTACTTCAGCAACATACAAGAGAAAGAATACCTGGGGACTGCGTTATCGAGGCTGGCAATGTATTCCTTGCATCATGTAAATTTCTCCGGTAAGTACTCATTGAAGTCATTCGAATCAACGGTTAAAATTTTCTCGTCGGAAGAGAAATATATATATATATATATATATACATGTACTTACAGCAGTAGTAGCCATTGCATTTTGTTCATCCCATGTACCAGTGGCATGACTATCATCCAACTTGAATTCCTTGAAGTTTCAGTCATAAACAAGGTGTCTCCATTGACCCGAAAACACAAAGAATCATATTCCGATGTGATCTATGCAATGATTCTTGGTTAAGAAGATATCGAGGTAGCGATTTTACCTCGTTTAGTTTCTCCCACACTAGGTTCGGCTGATTTAGATAGCCTAGGTCAGTAGCTAAAAGGAAGAGTTCACCATCATACTGCAAGTAAAATAAGAACACCGGTTCTTAAATCAGCTTATTAGCTTATCGGTTAAGTCGAAGTCATTCAAGAGAACACATAATTTGCAGAGAAGCCGATGCCAACTCCTAACCTTAAACATGGTGCTGAAATGATTGTTACGGAAGAAAACACAAAGCTCGCGTTCTTTTAGTCCTCGTAAGTAAAAAAGCCTGCAAAACATATTAACAGTCACTAAACAACGAGCTTCATCATGACATAAAGATTTACCATGTGATAGGCTCGAAGAATTCGGATCTTTAGAAAGATACTAAGAATACCCGAAAAAGGTCAACTGACTGGCATTGTTCTTCAAGAAGTTTTCAATCAGTTCTCCTGAATGGCATTAGGCATTAACATATAGCACAATACATTAATTTTCTTTTATAGCAAATCTTAAGCAGCAAGCAACAAGAGAACTGAGAACGAAACGAAGAACGGAGCTCGAATAGATGTATTACAAACCTTGTTGTGGAGTGATTTCATCTTTGGACCTCACATTGCAGTCATCTACAGCGCTTTTATTAGCTTGTTTTGCAAGAGTTGGCTCCCGGTGTTCATGTGGTGTTGTTGCAGAATCCACTATGCTGTTTTCGCCTTCGTATATAGGTTCACTTCCAGGCACATTTCGATGATTTATTATTCCACTAGAAGAATCTGAATCAGGATTTCGTAAAGACACGGATGATGCTTTCATCATGTCACACCCATTCACACTATCCGGAATGTCACGAGCTTTAGTTGCAGAAGCAAATTGAATCTCAGATTTTTCGATCCCTCGGGGAATGTTAGTGTTCATTCCATCCGTAGAAGCGATACTCCCATTAACCATCGGTGTCACGGCATCACTCTTCTCGACACATCATTTGGAAGAGTTAATTCTCCGGGTTTAGCACAAGATAACTAATCCTGAATAATCCCTTCAATCTTCAGGGACTCTTCCCTTTCGAGGGTCTCGAAATGTGTCTTACTTCCACTATCATTGCTCAAGGAAGTGCCATTATCTGATAAGGAAGGCTTCATCCGCTGCGGGATCGGATTTTCAACACCAACTGAGGTTTGCGAGTCAGCCTCTGATAATTTCAAGACTCTCAATAGCTCTGCTTCTTCATCGAGATCACCTTTTCTTAATTTCCGACCAGAATCAGAACGAGGAGAATCGTCAACAGATATGGATTTCTATAGACTATGACAGGGAACTCCCAGAGTGGCAGTTGTTGCAGCAGAATCCACACAATCCCCGGGTTTATTCTTATGCAAGGCCTCCATATTCCGTGCTTCCAATGCAACAAGCCCTTCCATGATCGCATTATAGGATTTCGACCCGATGGCACAAGCAGTTTCTTGGTCCTGGCACAACTGCACCATGAAAATAAACCATCAAATTCACTTGACCAATGGTAAATCATGTTTAATCCTATGCACATAACAAGCTTCCATGGGTTACATGCGGAGCTCGGTAGGAATAACACGACCACACAATCCCGCACCCCTTCGAGCCATAGAAAGTGCATTGCATACAACAATCATACTATCAACAAAGACAATGACAGCACATAAAAACACAATTCTTATTAGCTTAAGAGTACCTGTGGATCAACTATCCAACCATGATAGAGAGGAATATCAAGCAGATCGAAGATGGCACACTCGGAGGTGAACTCGAAATCATCTGTTCTGTATGTTGTACACATAATTCAATACAGAACCGCATTCGATTCACCAAAACATTAAGAGAGAAAGAAATGAAAGGCTAACCTCCTAAACTTGATATTCACATCAATCCCGGTAGCAAGAGGCGAGAATAAATCGATCGCATCGGCAATATTCCGCAGCTGATTTTCAACATATCTGGCTTCTTTATTCTACATTGCCAAAAGAAGAAAGGATTCATGATCCATCACTATCAAACAAACTACCCCAGAGCAAAAAGAAAACGAGGCTAAGCAATAAAAAAAAAGGAAAGAAATTACGTCAACATTACTGTTCGAATCAATGAGGCGCTCAGCCACCAATGAAAGTAGTTTCTCCTGCGAAACTTCGGCTGTATCGGAACTCAGGTTCATATTGTTGCTTAAAAGGAGAACATTGCCTATCCTAACATCGAACGATTAGAAATTTGATCGTCTTCCTAATTCAAATTGATACAATGACAAGGAAATGAATCGAAATTTAAAACCCAGAAATGGAAACAGAGGGGATGGAGAGTTACAGATGGCGAGGAGAGGGCAAGGTCCATTGTCGTTTTGGAGAATAATAGGCGTAGTACGACCTAAGAACTGGATGGCCTTAGTCTTGTACGTGCCCTCTTTGATTACCTCTTGCTTTTGCTGTTGTTTTTCTTTCACTGCTTCTTCTTCCTTCGATTCACATACAAAAGAAGGCAATGAAGAAAAAGAAGCAATCGCTGACATTTTTGTTTTCCAAGCAATTTGATCACTGGAAATTTTATGTTGCTACAAAAATGTGAATCAAAACAGAGAATCGAGATTTTAATCCAAGTTACAGGCAAAAACTCTTGTATGGGTTGTTTTTGCCACGGGTTCGGGCAGGTTTCCTCCATGTTTCTCGGAACCCATTGCCAATTAACTAGCTGATTTAGACTTAGCTGATTTAGACTTAGCCCATAGCTTGATGGACCAAAAGCTTGTGAAAAATTAAATTTTTGGGGCCTTGAATACCAGTTGGAACTGGATGATCATTGAAAAATAGTTCAAATATACACTTGTTTTAATTAATCGACGGCTCTCAGATAATCATAATTCTGTTGGCCGTTATTCACATTGGATTGTGAACCATGGAGATGCACATGGTTTGCCTAGGCTAGTACAAACAGAAGTTCTCAAAGGAAAAGAGAGAACTAGAAAAGGCTAATGCGAAATGAAAATGTTCATATGTCGAACCAGATCGAAAAATCGGATCTTTATTTCGGATTAATGGAAGTTCACATCTGTGCTGTAAGTCAGGCCTATATTCCAGTTTGCAGGTGCAACATTCCAGCATATGATAGTCTCCTTGGTCGTGTATGAAGTGATCTTGAAAGAGAGAGATTGGCCTCTAAGAGTTGCAAATGCTTGATAAGAAGCTCCCCAGTTATGGCTCATGCTAATCCACCCTGTTTTGCTTCCTTTAACCCACATTTTCGCAATGTCGCCGCCGCCGCCTACGTTCATCACATACACCAACAACCAGTACCCGTTCCCTTGGAACTTAAACCGAAACCCCCCTTTCGTTACACACGGTACCCTGAGAGAGAAATTCAAATCCATCAATCACAAAACAACGATCATAACAATTAAGTTTACGATTGCTATTAGAAAACATACCTCCGGTACATGACGGGGACAATACCGGCCTTCCACTGAGCAATTTTCATGAAAGCGGGCTTCGACATGTCGAAGTGGACTCGAGGAGGGTTGCACCACCCACCGTTGTTGGAGTCCTCGGCCCAATTCGGAGGGCAAAGGTTGGTCGCCGTAACGGTGGTGAACTTAACCGTAGGGTAGCACCACTTGGACTGCACACACTTTATCTGATAACAAGTCCCGCAAGCGAACCCGTTGTTGAACAACGTCGTGCTCAGAGCAGCCGTGTCCGTACCGTAACCACTGCTGAACAAATTCCCATAACCACAAGCTCCCCCTGTCGGGAAACAAAAACACCATTAACTACCACGAAACATTACACATTCTCATACGCACATCAAAATATGAATGTGTATAAACAACTATACTCACCCATAGTCTCGGAGGCGGTTTCGTCCCCGTAAAAGGTAACATGAGCCAGCGCCCAAGGGCTCGGCCGGTACGCAGCTAAACAGGGTCTGCCGATGATTGTCAGTTCCGTTAGAGCCATGAGAACAAACCCAAAGCTCCATGAATTCAATGAAAAAGACATGGTTTTTAATTATCTTCTTTTGTTCCTGTGAGACCTTCTATCAAACAAATTATGAACAATGTTCGTGTGTATTGACTCTACATGTATCCTTTATATATAATAATTTGCAAACTCACCCACCATTGGTTCATGGAAGGATTCAAAAACCGAAGTGCATGCCTTCTTCACACGATCATGGAGCTGAATTCCCTAAAGTCAAACTCAAATCATCTGAAACGGATATTGTTGATCATATATGTTTTTCGAATAGTTATCGACGTGCGTGCAGGTTATATTTGTGAGATTTAGTTAGACTAATTAAAAATAGCTTCAACTACGCATTTAGTAGTTAAGTTATTAGTTTTGATTAGTTTTAGTTAAACTTTTAATTTTTTTTTTAAATTATACTTAAAGTTTAGTTTTTATTTCATTTTAATACCCGCAATTAAAAATTTAACGCGTTTAGTACCTAAACTATCAGTTTTAGTCCGTTTCAGTACCTAAACTTTTAAAAAAATGTAATATTAAATTTTGAATAGGGTAATAAAATGAAACAAAACTAAACTTTAATTATGAATTTGAAAAAAATTAAAGTTTAGGTACTAAAATGGACCAAAAATTAATAGTTTAGATACTTAACGTATAGTTTACGCTTAAAAATATTATGATGGTTTCGTGCACTATAAGGCATTTGAACATTCGTTATCAAATAATTCATAATTTCTTAAACATATACTACGGATTTTAATCATTCTAGATTAATATAAAATATTAAAAATAAATCATATAACTGTTAAATAATGTATCGTATAAATAATTTCGAGCAAACATCTTTAAATCGTTATTTTTTTATATTTTTATATGAATAACTTCTACGTAACATATAATATATTTAAAATTTATTGCACTTCATAATTTATAAAAATAATTTTAAAATTAAATCATTCTAAAATTCTATCAATTTTTATGATAAATTATATTTTAATTCCTAAGATCATATTTTACTATCACATAAAAATTATGATATAAACACTGTAGATCATTATATTAATATTATGATAATTAATATTATAATTTTCGTTGATGATATTAATTATTTTCTGAGCTTAAAAATCTCATTATACACATAAAAATTCAAGAATTACATTGTTTTTTTTAGGGAAAACAATCCTCGTTAAAAATATCTCCTAGTCAACTGAAAGGGTTGAATGTAAAAGAATGCCCAACTATATAAATCATATAAATCGCACATCGTTTGTAGTCTTCGAAGAGATAATCAGGAATGGCAACGGGCCGGGTTCGGGACGGATTTTGCTCCCCCATTCTCGTCCTCGAAATGAATCTTCGTCTCTGTCCCCGTCTTGATCTCTGTCGGGTTTTTTATTGGGGCGTTCTGTCGGGAATTTTGTTTTCCCCCGTCCCCAACCCGAAATATTCTACCCGAACCCGACCCGATCTCGAGAAAAACCGTATTTTTCATTAAAAAAAAAAAGAATAAACAATCACAAAAAATGGAAAATTAATCTACATTATTTACAATTCAAACTACAATCACAAATTCGAACCTAATTATAAATAATTGCCTAAACTCCAAAATAAAACACATACATAATTAAACACATACATAATTATAAAAGTTAGGGTTTATGATTTAGGATTTAAATATTTAGGATTTAGGGTTTGTATTATATAATTAATATAAAAATATAAAATATTATATATAATTAATATAAAATATATAAAATATTATATATATAATTAATATAAAATATATAAAATATTATATATATAATTGGGGCGGGGATACCTTGCCCCGACCCCGAAAATATCTCCAAAAAAATCTTCAATACCTGACCCGATTTTATGCAAATCCGAACCGAACTTAGTCAGGTTTTAAATTTCCTCGTCGAATTCGAGTTATTCTGCCATCTCTACAGATAATCTCGAAACGAAACAAAGAAGACATAGAGATATAAGCCTATTTGACGAAGGCATTGGCAACAACATTACAAGATCGTTGAATCAAAAAAATGTGAAACCTAGGATACACCTAAAAGCGTTTCTTCACAGGTTGAAGATGACACTTCAAGATAGACCGATCCGCACCTTCAGGGATAGACTTAGACGGGATTAATGGAAGCGGTTGTCCCTTTTAAAAATTTAAAATTACTATATATTTTAAATTTTTTTATATATTTTATATTAAAAATTTATTCTCACCTCCTATAATTTTATAACTTCAGTTCGTCACTTTAAAATTTTATAAGTCAAGTTTACTCTATAACATAAAATTTTACGTCCATTAACTATGCACTCAAAAAAAACCAAACCAGAGGACCCCGGTTGGGTTCGGCTTTTACTTTTTAGTTTTCGAGTTTGGTTTTGCTTTCCTGGCTTCCACCCATAAAAAATATTATTTTTCAGTCTTTCTATATAAATAATTTTTCAAATCCCTTAATTCTTTCTTCGATCATATTTATGACTCTTAAATAATAAAGCTGATCATCGTCTTCGAATTTCCTGAATTGTCTTTCTCATCGTACGACGCCGACCTAAACAATATTACAACGAGAAGCGAATAATCTCCGATTATCGAATTAACGAGGTGTGTTTTACGGGTTTTGTTCAGGGATTCAAAATTTTTTGGTTCTTTTCTACGTTTCATGTTCGTCGATTGAAGGATTTTTAGGGTTTTCTCCATTTTTAATCATTAATTGACTCGTAATTGCCAGTGGACTGCTGATATTAAAGGCTTTTTTACGTGTTGATTTAGGAGATCGATTGAAATTTTGTCTAGATTTTTGTTCGGGATATCTCAGATTATCGATGGGGGTTTCGTTTAAATTAGCGTTTGATAGACGAAATTACAAATCTTTCTATTTATTTACTTTAAAACTGGTTTAAACTTAATAGTAAACGTTTCTGTTTGGCTCCTTCTCGAGCTCGAGGTTTGAGCTAATTAAGCTATCAGGAAAAATAGGAAAATAATGACTGTGTTTGTATTGATGGCCAGCTGAAGCTCGCTGGAGTAATTTAACTTTGGCTCTTTCTAAATCTTTGTGAGAATCAATAAGAAGTAAGCTCTTGTCCTGTTTTTCTCGTCTTTGACTTTAGGAAACCGAAGCAAACGTGCACAGAAGGAGAGAAAAGAAAAGATACCATGGGTTCTGAACAGAATGAAGGAACCAGCTTCCCGCCATCTGAGCCGAAGCTTTGTGCCAACGGCTGTGGTTTTTTTGGCACAGCATCGAATATGAACCTATGCTCCAAGTGTTATAGAAACCTCCGGGCTGGGGAGGAGCAAGCTGCAAAGGCCAAAGTTGTCATGGAGAAATCTCTCGGTGTCGAAGCAAAGCTGGACGAAGTAGTTGCGGAGGCATTTAAGCGTGTCGAGGAGCCATCTCATGTGGCCTCCTCCTCGACAGCAGTTGAGCAACAAACGACTGTTATTGTTGCTGCTGGTCAACCGGCTGAGCCAAAACTGGCAAACAGGTGCTTTATCTGCAGAAAGAAGGTTGGATTGACTGGGTTTAAGTGCAGATGTGGGAGTACCTTCTGTGGCGAGCATCGTTACCCGGAAAAACACGAGTGCTCCTTTGATTTCAAGGGTGCCGGACGAGATGCCATTGCCAAGGCAAATCCCGTCGTGAAAGCCGATAAGGTGAAACGGTTCTGAAAGGAGTAGAGGCAAGTTTGCGCAAGTCGTGTCGTTGAATGAATTTACCTTCTCTGTCTTGCCTACTGTCTTCCCGAGGTTTCCACTAGGTTTAGGGCCAGTGGAAAGGTGTGGGCTGTTTTAATGTTATTGCTAGTGTTATATCGGGGTTGGGAATGATTGCGACTGTATTGTTGCTCTGCTTTAGTTGATTCCATTATCAAAATGGATCAAGTGAATTATGAATGTGTTTACTATTGAATTCGCTTTGAACGTTTCCGACTCGATTTTTTTGGGTTGCCTTTCCGGTTCTCAAAATTTTTACTTTACTAATTCGGATCAATATGTGTCGCATACTTGGCCACATAATTTTAGTGGGTGAATCTCTCACTGGGGATTTTTTTTGCATACATAAGGATTCGAACTAAAAATTTATTTAAGTGATATTAAGTTGTTTATCACTCGAATCAATCCGTTAAATCAGCCCATGGTGACTTGATTTTTATTTTAGCCACATAAATGTAACGCTATTTACTTGTTATGCTTGTTGGCTTCAAATCTATCAGCATTTTGATGCAACATAATCTGAGTTAAGAGAGGCACTGTGTTATAAGGAGAGGGATAAGTTAAGTTTTAGTCCCTGAAGTAAAGTTTAACTGTTTATCATAATTGCAGATTCTTCCCCACATCCACCAAGCTAAACAACACTTGTTTATGCCTCCAATTGCGTTAAGCCGGCTTCGTAGGTTAAGGATTTGGAAAGAACAAATTATAACAAAAATCTAACTATTGCCTGAAAATCAAAGGTGTAATATTCCTATAAACATTTGGGCAACAAGAGCATGAATCCATCGACAAAACAATGTGTTGTTGCTGTGTGATTAGCCACTAGGGTCGAATTGCATTTAGGATTGTGAACTCCTCGGGCTCCCTTTCCATGTGTTTTTCTTCTTCTTCAGGGCGGAAGAGACTTGGACGTTGGAACCGGTGGACGACAGGGTGGAGCTAAACCGGAGAACGTGTTTTATGACGACGCTGCACCTGATTTGCAGACAGTGTCCCAAGATGTAGGTTGGGGGACTGTTGTGGTATAGACAGCAGGTCATGGGACATCACTTGAATGTTGGAAACGTGTAATCCAACAATTAAAAACAATTGTTTATTATAAAGATAATTTAAATTTAACTAAATAATTTCACAAAGCTTGCCTACACGACTACGTCTGAACTCTAAATGCCACCACCGATGGGTTTCCCCCCCTTAGAATTAGTACATAAAGAATGAAGGAGATCATGTATTACTGACGTGGATAGATCACCACCGTTTATCAAACATACTTCCCCTTTGATTCTCAAAGTCGAAGAACCGGAAAGCATTCACCTAATAGAATAACAGTGATCTCTCCATAATGGCATTCCGAACTCTGATTCATTAGTTCATGTGATTTCAGGGCATGAGGCTGGAGTGATGCACATCGGATCGGCAAGGTTTATTAACGGGCGAGACCCAGATGTTCAGATGAAACGGCCTCAACGTGACAAGGGCCGAAATATCGACCGCAACAGGCCGGTGTGGCAATGAACGTTTCTTACGTGATGGATGAAACCGGCAGCCTAGCATACCCCGAAGTCATTGAATCAGTGAGACACGAAGAATTTAGGGGAATGAAGGGAGCTATGTTGCACGAATATGGATACGGATACGGATACGGATACGGATACGGATATGGATACGGGGACGGGATGAAAAAAGATAATTTCTAAAATTATAGGGTACGTAGACGGCAAGGGTACGACATATAAAAAATTAAATTATAAATAGATATAAAAAAATCATAAATAAAGTCAATACTTCATAGAAAAATTGGTGTAACACAACTAATTTAATTATAATTAAAATCCTAACATTGAGATTTTTTCCCAAACCCCTAAATTAATTTTAGTGTCCAATTTAAAAATACTAAAAAAATATTTCCAAATTCGAAATGCCTAGAAAGATCAGGGATCAACTGGCAATTATACCAAAAATTCTATAAGTATTACTTTCTCCACCATGCGACCGCTTCTTCTTCTTTGTTTTTTTTCTTCCTTTTCGAAAATAGGGGAGTTGAATCACCGGCTTAGGCTCATCATCTGCCCATCGGGACTTTCTCTTATTGTTCCCACTTCCCGTCTCACCATTCCCATTATGTTTTTTGTTTGAATCCAAACGAGGGTCCTAATAGCTTCTCCTCCGTCTTTGGCTAGTGGTTTCTTCTTCTCCGGCCAAGCAATTCTTGACAGTGGTAATTATCCCGGGACATCCCCATATAAACTTCGACCGTCCCGAATTCGATCAATCGTACCCTACCATCGTGGCACATCTCCGTACCCGAAACATATCAGGTACTTGAAATATGGCTCCTTTGTCGTCCTCGTGCTTCATAGGAAGGGAGTGATCCAATTAGGTTTAGAATATATGATCTGAGAGAAAATAAGAAAACAAAAAATAAGCAACTTGGTCAATTAGTTTTCTCTTAAACTAATAAAAAAGAAGTGTATAGTACACAAATTATAAAATTGACTATATGTTAACGTTTGACTGATACAATTGTCAATTTTTAACAGAAAAAGACAAATTTAGAATATAAAAATTGTTATCGAATATTATTTTGTATTAAATTATCGACTATTGTTTTTAGAATTCTCTGTCTAAATAGAAAAAAATAAATCATCGTAAATTATCTTCTCTCACTCAATATATATATATATATAAGGTTAGGATCCATTTACATTATGTAAAACTAATAAGTTTTACACTACAACAACAACAACAACAACAACAAAACCCTATTCTCATATGTTATGGGGTAAGGAGGAGGTAGTGTAGTAGGCTGCCCCCAACGCCAGGTTGAGAGCAGCTTCCATGGAAGACCTCCCGCGATCAAAAAAAATTTAAATAAAGATAAAATGCAATGCATGTATAAATAAATACATGGTTTAGCTTTAATTAAAATTTATAACCATAAACAAAAATAATTTAACTCACAGTAAAACAATATACTATTTTTATTATTGTTAGAGTTTAGGAATTAGAGTTTAACATTTAGAATTTAGGGTATAGGGTTTAGACAATATGATTTAGAGTTTGAGTTTAAAGTTTAGAATTTTGGATTTAGGGATTGATATTTAGGGTTTTAGGATTTGGGATTTTTAGATTTGGGATAAAAGAATATATTATTTTATTGTGAGTTAAAAGATATTTTATGTATGAGTAATAAATTTTATATAAATCTAAGTCATTTACTTATTTATTTAAATTTAATAACTTCAAATCAATGTAAAAATTTATTAAATTTATATAGTGTAAACATATCTTATGATATATATATATATATATATATATATATATATATATATATGTGTGTGTGTGTGTGTGAAATCAGAGAACCATGTTCTCTCAACTTAAATTTATTGGAATGCCGGCAATTAACCTTTTCTGACTAAAAAAATTAATATAAAAAAATCTTAATCAAATAAAACAATAAATAATTAATAACAAATACATAAAATACAGTATTATTATCTCTCAGCATGAGCCCCAAGTGTTTTTTTAATGAAAAGATTCTTATTTTCCTCATCCAATGAGTTAGAAAAACCTAAATAAATAAATAATGCCTTTTACCGACAAAAAATTAAATTAATTAAATATGATTGTGAATTCCACAACTGTGCTCTAGTAGTAATTATATTAATATTTGTCGTTATTAATAATTAAAATAAAGAAAAAAAGTTATGGGGTTAATGACTTAATTTTCATCGAGCTCATCAATAACATTAAAAAATTAATTAATTAATATGGCTTCTTTTGTTCTTATCTTAAATCAAATGTTTAATAGCAATATTTCGTTAATATAATTATTTATATTTAATTCATTAATTGATTTGAATTAATATTATAAAAACTTATTTACTTAATTGATAATTAATAGGATAAAGTATACAAATGGTCACCGACTATAAAGTATTATTTTATTAAGATCTTTGACTATTAAAAATTATAAAATAGTCACCCAACTGTTCATTATATTTCAAACTCATCTTTATTCATTAAAAAATTACGGTTGTCTAAGCTAGACGTTAACATGATGACTGAGATATGGTTGTCATTTGAGATTATGAGATCAAATTTTTATCATATCACTATCAATATGTTAACTTTCAGCTTAGAACACTGTCAAATTTTTAACAGAAAATGGCGAGTTTGGATAGTCGGGTGAATATTTTGTAACTTTTAATAGTCAAGGGACTCGATAAAACAACACTCTATAATCAGATGATCATTTTATAACTTTTAATAGTCAAATGACTTAATAAATTAATACATTATAGTCGGGGACCATCTGTTTGCTTTACCCTAATTGATATAATTATCATCTTGATATTTTTCAGTTTTGATTATAATATTTTATATCTGAAACTAATTGCATTTTTAATGGGTCAATGTTTGCGGTCCATCCGTGATTACAATATAAAAGTAATTAGGTTTATTAAATAATAGTTACTTCCATTTTCCAATAAACATTTTATAATATTTTGGGGAAAATATTATTATTATTATTATTATTATTATTATTATTATTTTCTCTCCCATCATCCTTTATCAAAGTGACCGAATATCAATTAAAAGGGTTATTTTAAATTAGATTATACAGATATTACTAATTAAAATATGATTTTTATTTAAAATATTAAATTTCCAACCTCACTCTAATTCTTTATATCGTGGTACATTCATGATTACAATACGAAGTTAATTATGTTTATTGACGATTACTTCCATTTCACAATACAGGTATTATATTTTTATATATTTACATTAGTCCACGATCGAATAGACACGATATCTTATGTTAAAAAGTTAAGAATTTATAAAATTTAAAAATAAAATAAATATATAAAAACTTTAGAACAAATATTATTTTATAATCACTCTAAATTAATAAAAATAAATAAAAAAACTATCAAAAACAATCTATTGGAATTTAATTCAATAATATAATAATAAATTTGATTTTCGAAGGTGTTCGTGTTTTATTTTATCTCTAAATTTAAATACGATCAGATTCAACTCAAAATTTAAATTTCTTTAAAAGTGATTAATTTGAAATTTGTTAAATATGATTTTTTTTTCATCCATAATTAAAAGAGGCATGGTAAAGTTAATTTGTTTAGGGGTTATTTGTTGTTTAGGGGTTATTTGTGTCTTTGTAGTATATTTAATTTAGAGAAAATAACTTCATTAACTAAAAATGTCTTATAATATACGATTTTAACCAACTTTTTTTGGATTTGCCAAAATGACCAACTAAATCGTAATGCGATCGATAATTCGCAACGCGATCTCCGGTATCGCAAATCAGTTTCCAGATTCGCAACGCGAACTTCGAATATCGCAATGCGAACTTGGGCTATCGCAATGCGAACTTGGACTATCGCAATGCAAATATGTAAATCGCAATGCGATAGTCAACTATCGCAATGCGAACTTGGACTATCGCAATGCGATTTACATATTCGCATTGCGATTTACATATTCGCATTGCGATAGTCGAAGTTCGCATTGCGATAGTCGACTATCGCATTGCGATTTTCCAAATTCGTTGCGATAGTCGAAGTTCGCGTTGCGATTTATTCCAAATTCGTTGCGATAGTCCAAAATCGCAACGACTGGTGGTATTGCATTTGTTTCTTAAGAATTTTCTCTAAAAAGATAGTATTCGCGAGGACGTGTCGAAAACACGTATTACCATTACCATTACCACGACCACGACCACGACCCGAGACGAGACGAACGGCGGCGGCGGCGCGCGAGAGTCCCCCTTGTTCTCTATCACTCAACAAGGAAGTGGGAAAACCAAGCCTTAAATATTATTCCCAATAGTGTTTCCAATACTATGTGGGATTGAGCATTACCAACACTTGTTTCCAATACAATGTGATTATTCAGGAAACAATTAACAATCATGCACCTTAAAACAACTGAATCAACAACCAATTGCATTAGTATTATACGATTAAATATGTCATAATTAAAAGTCAATCTACAATCAATCGCGATTATTGCAATTTTAAGCAAAACATTCAAAAATAATATCACTATTTAAGGCTCAATCCCACATAGTATTGGGAACAAGTGTTGGTAATGCTCAATCCCACATAGTATTGGAAACACTATTGGGAATGGTATTTAAGACTTGGCTTTCTCACTTCCTTGTTGAGTGATAGAGAACAAGGGGGACTCTCGCGCGCCGCCGCCGTCTGTCTCGTCTCGGGACGGGTCGGGTCGGGTCGTGGTCGTGGTCGTGGTCGTGGTCGTGGTCGTGGTCGTGGTAATACGTGTCTTCGACACGTCCGCGCGAATACTATCTTTTTAAAGAAAATTCTTAAGTAACAAATGCAACACCGTCGTTGCGATTTTGGACTATCGCAACGAATTTGGAATAAATCGCAACGCGAACTTGGAATAAATCACAACGAATTTGGAATAAATCGCAACGCGAACTTCGACTATTGCAACGAACTTGGAATAAATCGCAACGCGAACTTGGACTATCGCAATGCGAATATGTAAATCGCAATGCGATAGTCGAAGTTCGCGTTGCGAATCTGGAAACTGATTTGCGATACCGGAGATCGCGTTGCGAATTATCGATCGTATTGCGATTTAGTTGGTCATTTTGGCAAATCCAAAAAAAGTTGGTTAAAATCGTATATTATAAGGCATTTTTGGTCACTGAGGTTATTTTCTCTTCAATTTATAATTTTTGTCCTTATCATATTTTCGTATCAATTTAGTCCTTAAAGTTGTTTAATTGCATCATTCTATACTTCACCCTAACTTAAAACCCTAAATTATAATTCTTAAGTTAGAGTTTTGAGTTTAGGGTTTAAAGTGTTTTGGGTTTTGGTTTAGTGTTTTAAGTTGGGAGTATGGTATAGAATAGTGCAATTGGATAATTTCGAGGGCTAAATTAATGCAAAAATACGATAGGGACGAAAGTGATAAATTGAGTTTACTACAGGGCAAAAATTACTCTTTTACCAAGTTAATCCATATATGGAAATTGAATTAGAGAACATAGATAATATCTACAAACATATAGTAACTTTTATTTTATAAAAAAATGATTCTCATGTGTCCTCTTGGATTGTTGTGCACCCATAATGACAATATAAAGAATTATGGTTATTAAATAATAATTTCTCTCATCTTCCATTATCAAAGAGATAGGTTGAGTTTAATTAAAATATTAATAAAAAATATTTAACTAGATAACATATATAATATTTATATAAAATGTTATTCGGGAGAAATTTTTGAATTTTCCATCATTCCACTAGTTGGTTGGATTGTGGTCCATCCATGGTTACAATATAAAATTAACAGTGTTGATTAAATTATAATTACTTCAATTTTTAATAAACATTTTATAATATTTTTGAAAATAAAATAATGTTAACACTCTCTTTATTGCAAAAGGTGGGTTGGATTTAATTTGAATATTAATAAAAATTATATTTAAATTAATAAAATACATATATAATAAGGATCAAATATAAAATTATAAAAAAATTAAGAGTCACATCAATTCTCCATCAAACGTTAACAATAAATTATTTGATTAAGATCATTTAAATAGTTAAATGATCTAATTATAAAAATTAAAAGATCGGTGATAAAAATAAAATGTGTCCATAGTTAAATAGTTATGAGTGTAGTTTACTCTTTTTAAGACGACTGGTGATTTTATAAAAGGATAAATTACACTATTTGCCATTCATCTATTTTATCACCTTTATTTTGGTTACTATAATGTAAATATTTTTACGTTAATCACTTGGCTTTCAAACTATTCTCGTTTTAGTCCCTCTATGATGACATAGATAATTCTATTAGTATTTTCATTTAACATGACATACTTTATTAGTATTTAATTCTACATAAGAGTTAAAATAAAATAAAAAAACCCTAATCTCAAACTTAAACATCAATCCTTAATCTTCTAGTGATAAACATCAAACCTTAACCTTCATTCTCATCGATCACATTCTCACTCAAGTCATAAGTCAAATTCTTCAAACTCTAGTAATTCTCTTCTTCAAACTCCTGTGATCCTCAAGCCGTAACACATACTGAACCCAAACTATCGTAAACCTCCCTAGAAAATTTTGCAGGAGTAAGGGAGAGTTCTTACAGTAGCGTGAAGCGTGGGAGTGTGTGTTGGGTTGATCAACAGGTGATCTGAGGTTAAAGACGATATATTCCTATACTAAATTTGCTCTAACATTTTTAGAGACACTATCAAGGTCTTTAGTAAATCTTTTGGTGGTAAGACAACTTCACAAGGGAAAAAGAAATGGTTAAGGGTGAGGATGTGATGGGGTTGTGATTTTAGGTCAGTTGACGTTGCGATTTGAGGGTGAGACCGTGATGAGCCAC